AGGAAAGTGTATCCACCCCAAAAAAATATTCCTAAGTGTGTCACTGATAAAAATGTAAGGATTTATTTATTAAGAAGTCATCCTACTGTATATCCCTATTTAAACAAGGATCATCTGTGTATGTAATTGATCAATTATCATTATCACCTGCTGCAAAACATAGTTTGCCATGGCTAGCCTTGCATGCATTATAGCTATCAGTGACACTGCCATTCTTGCACAAGGGCTGGGATGAGGAGGTGGAGTGTTTTACAAAATAACATCTTCTGTAAAGGCCATGTCAGTTACAGCTCCTTTCTGTAACTGCTGGTCGCACATTTCTCTGCTTGAGTCTGGAGTATTCACAGTGAATCATGTGCTCATTTGACAGAGAATCCACAGTTCTGTGCTCTACTCCACGGAACACTTTACACCACATTGCACATAATTCAAAAAGGGCTAATCATAAAAATCCAATACTTATTCTATTGCAAAGCAAATTGTAAATGTATCATATACTGTACGTACAAAGACAAGTAGATTCAACTTCAATTTTCTGTATCCCAGTATTCTCATTATTAGACTTGGAACAAGCTTAAATATCTCAAGCCAACATATGCTCCGGTTTCTTTCAGAGGATATCTGAGAGCATCAAGATTTATGCAGTTGGTTCTCATGACTTTGAAATTGGAATCTTACAGCTACTCATTTCAGCATCACAGAGCTGTATAAAATCTGTTGTGATGCTTCCACACAGAAGATTTCCCATTTCTTCCTATGACTGGCTCACACATAGCTCACTCTGCAGTACTGCATATAAATGAATAAAGAGGAAGGTGAGTGTACCAGATTTCCCGTAAAGATTTGTAACATGTAAGGCCAGGTTAAAGCAGAAGCTGTGGTGAAATATGAATAATAAAAGTCATTTAGTCCACAAACAAAAATTCATTATATTCTGAAACAATAATAACTATAGACAACTAAGAAATAGGCAGATATTCCAAGTACTGCTATCATTTTTACCATTAATGGGGAGTACTTAATAAGTACTCATACCCATTTAATTTTTCCTTATACCACTGAAGAACATGAAGACAAACACATGCTGTTTGTAGAATATAATTTGTGATACAGCATTTTTTTTGTTGTTTGCATGGGAATCTGAAAGTAAAGGACAAACCAGAAATAGAAAAGTTTTTGTTATATGCCATGTGAAATGTTAAAAATGCTGAGTAATGTTTTTTTTACTAATTCTACCCCTAAAGTGCCTTGTTCCAACTTCAGTCCAAGGAACAGGGTACTGGCCCTTTCCTGTAGCTAGGTTTCAGCCATTTTCTGTCAATGTCTAGGCTCTCTGTTCAAACCCTCTACAAAGCCCTGGCTAATCTCTTGGTGCGAGTGTACTTTTTTGCACACAATGTTAGCACAGCAGTTTCTACAGGCAACCAGTTAAACCTCCCCTCCTGCTCCCATGAAGAGAACTTGGAAGAGAGCAAGTGTGAATGCACTCAGAATATCTCTAGGAATTATTACCATTAACTTCACATTGTTTCAGCAATCCTCTCAGTGAGCAACACAGCACATTACTGACATCTGGCAGAGTACTGTTGCATTGAAGAACAGATACCTTTTTCCCAAATACAGCCGTACATTTCCACTGGTTTAAGAGTAATTTCTGAAGATGTGGAGAGCTTGAAAACAAGGAGCAACTCAAAAACAGAAATATATGCAGCTCAGCACATTTTCTTTAAACTATGACTAACTTAATCAGAGACACTAAGGACAGCAAAACAACTTCAGTGATGCAGTTCCACACATTACAGTTTTGTTTTGCTTCTATAGGAATTCTAGGAAATAAAAAACATAAAAGATAGGGTTATTTGGAATTAGGCACAGGGAGGTAGGGTGTTATTAAGCAACTTTTGCTTATCTGTATTAGTTCTGTTTTAATTTCCAACCTGTCTGCTAATGCCCTATGTGGGGCTAAGCTAAAGCTTTCAATCGTATGCCTTTCCAGAGCTGTATTAAGTCCCAAGCACTGATGTGATAAACTGCAACACAACAACACTCCAACACCAATTGCTTTCAACTGCAGACAGGAAACAACTGAAGAGCATCAGATATGTTTAATGTGCTTACAAAACTGTGTTCGAAGCATCACCTCCAAGTGTAAACCTATACCCAGAATAAACAAGTTTCTTCTTTAATCATCTATCATTATTAGGTTCATGGCATTACAAGGCCTTCTCAAGTTCAATCTCAGATCTCGCCATGCTATGATTGGAGTGACACATAGCATGGTCATGCTGTGTATTCATGCCACCAAAACAATGAAGAATGACATTTCCTGCACATTGTTTTGCTTCTATAGAGTTGTCACAAGCAGTATAAAAAGGCTTGTTGTTATATTATTTTATTTAAAAATAACAGTATATAAGGATGTCCTAAATACTGTTATTTACAATACACTGGTGCCAGGAAAAACAAAACCTTTTAAGGACTTTAGAGAATGCCCTTCATATTACTCAAAAGCATTTTTTTTTAAAGGCCTGAAGCCAATTGCCAATGAGTCAACAGCCCAGTTACATCCCTGTGAGTGGGACACACTGCAGCGAGAGGGAATGCCAGGGATGAGCAGCTCTCCTCCAGCCTGCCTGCTGAGCTGAACATCATCACACAAACACACCCTCCGCCGCGCTCTTCAAATACGTTTCACTGATTGTAATCAATTGACTACCGCAATACCTACTTTTACAATTAGCTCCATAACGAATGCTAATAGGATAACTGTTCCTGGGTGACAAAATGCACATCTCAATTAACGACTTAATACAAATCAAGTCTCGATTTGCAATAATTTGTAAGGCAATATTTTTGCCTGCAGTCACGTTTTGTACAGTAACTCTCGGTATAACTTTGATTAAAAGGAAACATACTGCATTAAACACCTGTGCAACAGTTTGTAAAAGAGGACTTGTCAGATCGGTCCCGCTCCACATGGGACTCTTTTTATTTGGCTCCTACCATATTGGTGTGCAATATAACAGAAATGTACGACATGAAGTAAATACATTATATAGCTGCAGCTTATCCAGGCCTACTGTATATACTAGATGCTTACACATTCATAAACACATGCACAAGCAGTCAAGATCGTGGGGTCACCTATCCATCCTTTTACTAAGCACATCGGCCAAATTAGGGTTATAGCAGAGCCTGGCAAGCAACAGACACAAGGCAGGGTAAACCCTGGATATGACACCAGTCCAGCGTAGGGCACACACAGACACGCACACCATCACCCTAGTGTCAGTTTCCCCAGAAGCCAATTAACCTAGCAGTGTGTTATGTGTGTTTTTGGACTGTGGAGGAAACCCTCACAAACACAAGGAGAACATACAAACTCCACACCAAAAGCACCCCAGGTCCTGAATTGAACCCAGGGCCCCAGTGCCACTGGCAGCAGTTCTAACAACTGTGCCACCAACCACCTATTCAATGTAAGTAAAATACAATTAAACAGGAGTTAAAATTAAATTAAAACAGGAAGGGTATATTAGCATATTGGTATTTTTGAAAATATCAACCCTTCTTATAAACAATTTAAGAAAGATCATCGTTACCATCTGTAAAGTCTGTTAACAGCACTCAAGTCATCACAAGGCGAATAATTATGTTGTCTGTTCTGCTCATCCTTACTTCAAAATAGTTCAGGTCAGGAGATAGAGAAGCCCAGCGTTTTCCATTTTAAAACCTGGTATTCTTCTTTCTAGTGTATTCAGGTGTACAGTACCTTGTGTGTATTATCATCCAGCTAAACCTACCATTCACAAGACCCTGTTACCTGACCCTGGAGAAAAGAATGATACTGAGCTTTGCAACTGTGCTTCGGATTTTGCTGTGGTTCTTATTTGTGTACAGGAACGACAACCCTAAACTTTAATCTCCATCTTGTGCTGCCCGCACCTGCAGGCACTTCAAAACAATGGGAGCTAAATGAACTGCCGAGGCGATTTTGTATGAGAGACATTCTGTAAGAAGCCAGTCGTTTGCTTAAGGAGACACCCTACCAAGAGCAGCGCTGGTCACAAAAGTGACTAAGGCAGAAAGAGGAAACAATTAAAAGACAAGCTATGCTGATGAACCAAAAGTCCGAGAAGATCATTTCCTAACCAGCATTCATCTTGCTGCTAGTCTCAATTCCACATCACGGACCATCCGGTCTTCAAGAAACAGTCAGGATAAGGAGAATAACAGGCCAAAAAGCAAAGAAATGCTAAGTATAAAAATTAAAGTATCAACTAAACTAAGTATAAAAAAGAAGACACTGATCAAGATTATTAGGGACAGTGTGCGTGGGTAGCATTTTGATACCCGTAGGACAGTGACAACAAAACATAGCTTATGTTGCACTTTACTTTATTATTCATTCACATTATAAACTTATGTTTAGTTTTCTGTCCGATGATCGTATGATTTTGACATCCACCCTTAACAAGTCTGTGTTGATATTAATACATTTTAGATTAATACATTCTCAGATCTTCCGATTTTAAGGTCAACTTGTTTTTCTCTCCCGCGCAGGTCACGGAATCTGCGCAGATTTCGACCGCTTGATCTCACTGAAAAGAGGAAAAGGGGGACACGTAACTGTGTCACACCTGCCAGACCGGTTTCTCAAATACACTGTGAACGGATGAGCCTGGCCGTTGAGCGGTCCGCCAATGAACTTCCTTTCAGTGAGCTGGCATTTCAATAAGCACATGGCTGCGTTGAATTGGGACCAGTCAGGCACTCAGCACAGGAGCAGAATAACAGAGTGCTCTTTGTTTTCACTAGCTTAGTCTTTGACGCTTAATTGTTGGCACTTACGTTTCAATGAGTATGATACACAGCAGATATGTGTAAGTAAAAAGTTCGGATTTTAAACATAATCGGAAATGTCCAACACAGTGCTATGACATCGCAGCGTTACTGAACTTTTCATGTAAAACTGTTCGGTTTACTGTATAATAACTTACGACAGTTTTCTTCATCGCTGTTATCCGAGCAGTCGTCATCATCATCACATCTCCAAATTGTGGGTATACACCTTTCGTTTTTACATTGAAATTGGCCAGTTTCGCATTCCGTTTTAGTCCCTGCATCGGAAGTCAAAAGAATTAGGAATCAATACATGGATAATGTTCTGACATTAATAAAGAAACCCAGGGATATTTACAGTATGCACCTCTTGGATTACTGCTGTCTATTTACTACCAGTTAAATTCTCCTGAATTATACAGCAATCGCAAATATACCGGAAATGTAGTCCACCATAAAGATAAATACCACTTTCAAATTATTTTTATTAAGTCTTCTTTTTGCATGGGATATGGAATTTACAGAGATTGGACGCGTTCTCTAACGCCAGATAATGCACTGCTGCCTAAACTAGCAAGCCTGTAGAGAGGAATTAGGAAATAACCGAAACTCCATTCATTCATTAACCCTCTAAGACTAAGAAATAGTGGATTGAACATACAGGAATATATAAATGATAGGCACCCAGACTTTCATATTTAATATATTAAATATTAAAGACTAGCTACAACGACCTAATACTTGTTAGATAAATTAACGTATTTTCGTACAAGCACCTAACAGAACAAAACTGAATACACTCACAGAACAACATTGGTATATCAATTAAAAATAAAAAGATAATAACCCCTATCTACACAAACGTAATTTTTTATGGATCGCTATAGTTGCTTTCTTGGTAGAATCAATCGTACGTTTCCATACGAATGTATACAGACGTACTGTACACTGTAGTACAGGAACACATATAACCTATCGCATACGTATACACACGCATGCAAACATGTATGTTAAAGTAAGGAACACTGTTGGTGTGATGCGAATGAGAAAACCCTCATCACAGTACAAACATAGCTATTCCGCTTCGGGTACTTAAAATATTTTAATTCACGGCTATCACGCTGACTCTTTCGAAAAGCGGCTACTACGATAAAAGCATGTTTCACGTTCTCTGACAAGCTCAGCTTGGTTTCTCATCATAGATCTCTACCACATGCTTCCAAGTTCAAGGAGAAATATCAACCCACCTTTTGTTAAATGTAGCTCCATTAATAACAAATGCAACAGCATTAGCTTTCCTATTTCTGTCCACATTTCTTCCAATAGTGAAACACTGTCATGCGAAACACAAAGGCAGTATACGTTCCCTTTCCTCTAGCAAAAGCTACTGAGCTACTGTGTGCATCCTGCTCCACTAGCAATTTGAATCAGTGACGATGACGATTATGGGCGGGATTCTGCCTGCAGTAATGTACTGTAGCAAAAAATATGCATCAGACTATACAGCCGACGAGACGACCCGCATCCACGACCTCTTACAGACGGAATAAATTGACAGAGGATGGAATGAACCATTTGGATGCATCAGTAACAAAAACCTATGTACTGTGTTGCACGCGAGAAAAATAAACTCGCTTCTGAGGTCCTGAAAACGATTTGACAAGGGCTTGTTGTTGTTCTTGTTTATTCATCCGTCAAGACATCGACCCTTTCTTCGATTTACACCTTTAATAACTGAATTTAATCAACTCACGGGTACCAGTAACCGTAAAATTTTAACACCGCTATTACCTAAGAACAGGAGTCTAACGACTACAAAAAAATATACACAGTAAGTCGCATGTTGGAACAATATGCAATACGACCGTGTAAACACCTGCGCATAAAATGAGGGAAAATAAAGCTATAGAAACTAAATATTGTACAGTACGTACTGTAAGTTTGAACCTATATATTGTATCCAAATCCGTAAGTAATTTCACAAAAGAATTTTAAATGTGACCATTAAAGAGCGATTGGAACTAACTTAAAGGATACCTGGGTTTTCTTTCAAAGAACCTCCTTTTCGTAGAGACACAAACATGTATTTTGTCGCGACCACATTGTAGCCTGGTCCTGTTGGATTTCAGAAGCTGATCATGCTTGGACCAGGTTAGTACTGGGTACTGGGAGGGGGGCAGGGGTCAGTGTTGGTAGACCAGTAGGTGGCACTCTTCCCTCTAGGCTAGAATCTTCAATACCCCATCAGGGAAACTGGGGCTTCTGTGCAATGGACACATCATCATTCAGGTTAGACTTTAAGCAAAACTCTTTCCTGAACTGTAACTGAAGATCATCGGGCACAGTGTGTGAGAAAAGGTTCATAACCCTGGTGGCTCATAACCCTGACTGGGCTTGTACAGTGTGGCCTACTTTAAGCAGCTTCTCATTTCTGGTGAAGTAATTTCTGACTTTCCAACTTCTCACTGATCCCTTATTCAGTAGGGCCGCTGGTGAATAATGGCATTTAATTCTTATTGATTTAATTGTTTTCCAAAGGTTATTAATGTGTTTACTGTGTGTGGGGGGGTGGGGGTTTATGCAAAGCTTCAGTATCAGTGTAATATTGTTAATTAGAATTATTCCACTTGACAGGATAACCTCGTATCAACTTAAATAAAGTTCAATTTCATGATCTGAACAATGTCTGCCAATCAATCGAAACCATTAAAGTACAATCATTGCTTTACCCAATACAATGCTAACAACTGGACAATCGTGCTGCCCTAAGTACTACATTTAATTTTAGTTAAATTTATTTTGAACGCAAATGTAATTTACTATTTAAAATACAATTCAAATTACTGCTGATGTCCGGATTATTCATGGAATTCTGAAGTACTGTGTTTCACATCTGAGAACATGACTGTTACAGTGTAAGTGTGCAGGTAAGTGTGTTGTCTGGGTTTACAGGTGTGTACAAGTTAGTCCACTTAGGGACTTTTTTTGAGGGGGGAGGAGTTCATCCCTAACTATCCTATAACCAGTAAATGTGGTCTTTGGAGAGGTAAAACAGTCTCTTTAGATAAGACAGCTTGGCATTCTGTTGTTGTGAGGAACTCTGATTTCTTGTGTGAAGAATCCCTCCATTAAAAACGGCCTCTCCTGGTTAGTGGGTTCCATTTTAGAATAGGGAGATAGGTTCCCATTCATTTTATAGCATCTGGATTTATATATATTATGGAATTACAGGGACTATAATTAGGGATATATAATTATAGGCTATATTCTGTTTAGTTTGGAGAAAGCTTTCTCTTCTTTTGTAGGTTTTATAAGATTTGAATACTTGGTAAAAGTCTATGTTTTTTCTGGGTGGTCAAGATGTACAGTAGGCCTCTGGAAACACTTGTTAGTAAATTTATAAATAGTGAAACTTGTATGTTGTATGTTTATGTGGTGTCTCGTTTAGTGTGTCATTGTAATTACACATAAATGTTTGTTTAACCCAGTGTGCCTGAATTATTACTATTTTCCCCAAAGGTGAGCCAGAGAACAAAGAATTCAGATGCCTCTAATTATCTGAGTCAGCTGCTCCGGTATATTCTTGGCAAACTCTTTACAAGTTGAGGGTTATGATTATTTAATTATTGATTAGTCCCCATGGTCATTTCTGATATTTCCCTATTTTCGTAACCTCCTTTGTAACAATATATAAAGTGGAAGACACACTGGACTAGATACTTTTTAAGTTTACATGAAATTATTAAATGTTTTGTAAGTTATATAAATACAGATTGTCTAATTTCATATAGCATGTGCAGAAAATATACTTTCCAAAACATATTGTGGATTACATACTGTGTATAAGGTACATATTGTATTTCTGTATGAGCAGAAATGGGATCCTTCCTTTGATTAAAGCCCGTGTCAGTCCCTACATGAATTAAAGTGACGAGTTGGCAGTATTAAGTCTTCCAGTCTGCAATCCCCACAGGAATGTCGTGGAATACCAACTGGAAGGAATCTTAAGTCAAGCTGATGTCAAGAAAATGAAATGTTCCATTCCCTAGTGTCGACACTATCTTTCTTTTTATATCAAATTCAAATCACAAACTTAAATGAAGAGTATTTTCCATACCGTAGATGGCTTACCTGTACTTCCAGTCTGACAAACATTTTACATAAATTAATTTACAAGTTTCTCCAGTTCTTTATTGCTTTTATTGTAGTTCAGCAGAGAAAGAGTCTATTCACTCACAAATTTGGTGTGTCCTGGGAATTTTAAAGGCTTTTATACATTCACTTTTTTTCTAGATATTAAAAGAAACCTGATCTGACCTCTCCGGAACAAGATAAAAAGTACATGAAGGTTTTCCTTTTCTCATCCGACATATTTGTTAAGGTCAGCTAATGTTCCTAAAACAAAAGGTAGACTTTTGCCTACCCACCTGTATGGAAAAACATATTTATCATGTCAAGAATGTGAATGCCTTATTATATATTTTTCCATCCACCCATTTTCATCCATCAGATTCTTTCAATTCAGGGTCACAGGAGAGCTAGAGCCTATCCTGGTAACCATAAGGTTACACCCTTCACAGGATACCAGTCCACTGCAGGGAAGACACAGACACAGACACAAACACACATTCACACCAGGGCCAATCTTCCCAGAAGCCAATTAATCTACCAGTATGTTTTGGGACTGTGGGAGGGAACAAGAACGCCCGGAGGAAATGTACACAAACATGCAAACTCCACACAGATAGCACACAAGGTCTGGAATTGAACCCAGAGCCCCAGAGCTATGCCACCATGCAACCCATCAGACAGTTTTAACAAAAAAAAAAATCTATGGTACTTGGATGTGTCACGATATTGGTTCCCCCTCCTTAAGGGTGCTCCAGCCCTTTCACTCAAGGCTTTATTCTGTGCACCTGTTTCACATTCCCAGCCCACCTTAAAAGCCAGGCGCTGACTCTCATCCGGGCTCTGCACCTGATTTCCATATCATGCGAGTCCGGGACCTGGAAGCGCCTGGTCCCGTTAAGGTTTTAACCTCTGTTCCCGTTCCCGTTCCCGTTCCGACCCGGTCTTCGCGGTTTTTTAATTCTTTGTTCTGATGGATGTCCTGGTTTTGGGCTTACCCTCGTGTTTTGGATATTCCCTAAGGACTACTCTTTTGGATTGTTCGCCTCGGCCACACCTCCCCCGTGCACCAGCGCACCTTGGACACGCCCCCCTGTCTTCAGCCCCGTTTTCCTGCATGACGTTTCCCTAGTGTTTCCCCCACTCCGTCGGACTGTGTCGTCCGCATAGGGTCCGGAAAGAACTGTTCGTTACAGGATAATGGGATATTAAAAGTGCATTACTGATTTTGATACAGTATCTAATATATATATATTTTATGTATTGAACAAACACGGCCTGATAGAGTTTAGAATTATGACTAAGCATTCTCTCAGGTAACAGTAGGAGGGCTGAGGGTATGAGAAACAGGCTGTCGAAGCCGCCAACCCTGGAGTTTTCAAGTAAAGGCTGCATGAGATCTTCAGAGCAATTAGCTACTAGCAGACAAACAAGCCATGGGCTGAATGACCTCTTCTCATTTGCAACAGTTCTTCTGTGTTCTTGGTCTTTGGCTGAATATATGTAAATTATCTGTGTGCAACAAATGCTGGCATCAGAGGCTGTCCTAAAAATGTAAGTAAATATTGATTATCGTGGTGGCTAGCTGGGAGTCAATCTAACTGATGTGTGTTTGTGGGAGAGTAGGTGTCTACGGTATTGGTGGGTTGGAGTGAGTGGTGAGTCACTGTTGTTTAGTAATCTTGCTAACTAAACACCTCAGGCACTCTAACATTTAGATAATCTTGCTCCCATTTATTCTACTTCTCTTCTTCTGTACAATATTTAATAGCTTTCATGTATTTACATCTTATTAATTTAATATTTATAAAGGCATTTGTTATGCAGGAAAAAAGCACTGTTTATTATGTATGCATATTTTAAGCCTTAAGTAAGTACCATTAGTACATATATTAAGTGCCTTTACGAAATACAGTTGAGGCTGAATTAAGTGTCTTTAGATGTTATGTTACTGAGGTTTTTAAATGGGTCATTGTAATTTAATTTACATATTTTTCAAAAATTCACATTGATATATATTTTGATATGTTGGTACTTAGTATCCATAATTTACATATGTTGTTTTATTGCTTCTGTAGACATACTTTTCTCATTTATTTCCATATTTACCATGTTTTAAACAATTTGAAATATATTTAACATATATATATATAATATATTTACATATCTAGAAAAGCAGCCAGTTTTATTTGAGGAAAATGTGTACAATATTTGGAGCGCAGTTCATATATTACAATTAATTTAGGAAAGATGTTTGAAAGATAGTCACACTTTTCTTTCTGTGATACACATCACATGTCATTTTCAATAACTGCTAATCCAGTTCAGGGTCAAGCTGGCCTAAAGTCTGTCCCAGGATACACCCTGGCGCACACACTCACAAATGATC